GACACCCGGTAAAATAAAAGTAAGTAGTTATATTTATCATCTTATTAAGAAAAAAGTAGTAGTAGTGTCAAAAATATTTCGAACCTCTCTTAACATAACAAATTAATACAATTAATTTTTTTTCATTTTTTGGGTAGGTAGTTTATAGCTGGTTTATAGTAACCAGAAACTTTATTAATATACCTATTTTACTTTTGTTTTAGGATTAAAACTGGACTTGAAAATGGTTCAGGATCATGATTCTCGTAAAGTCTTCTTTGCTTGGATATTCACTTTGTTATTGCAATTAGGCAGTTTTTTCGAAAATGAGATTTTTAATGCCCTTTAAAAAAATTGGCCAATCGTTTCCTGCAACAGTCAGTTCTTCTGCATTTAAAATTGGTAGGTGGGTGGAATAAACATCACTGTTATTTTTTGTTATTATATTATAAAAAGTTTATTTATTTTTATGTATAAATAAATATGTTTATAAAACAGTACAATTTTTTTTTTTTATAATTTCCCTTATATAATAGTAGTATTCTTTCGTTTTGAAAGAAACTGCAAATTTCCACTTAAACTGATTTATTCCCTACACCACGTTCCCTTTACGTGGTATAGGGAATAAATCAGTTTAAGTGAAAGTTTTCAGTTTCAGAATGAAAGAATACTATACTAATAATGGCTAATTTAAATTTTCCGCCAGCCAGAATGTGCGATAATGTCTTACGATACGTTTTATACATATCTCTTTCTTTTTCATATAAAGCACACATAATAAAGAAAGATAGCAATAAAGACGTACGTCCTGCCATGGTCATGCTAATTGGTTTCAAAATTGTTATTCTGAGTTGCGCTACGGGGCGGGAACGCGGTCCCACTCTTTACCATGAGATTTGTCGGTCTCTTTTTATTTGTTTGTCTATGAGTCTGGGATAAAAATGTTATCGTTTACAACACTTTATTCTGGTAACCAACTGACAGAACATTATAAATATAGGAGAGCATACACTGGATGTTCCAATATTTATGTAACACAGTATATATTGATCTCTTTTGAACCCACATACATGTTCAGTAATCCTGAGTCACTTAAGACTGCTTTAGTCAAACTGACAGGTACTTTAACGTATAGTACTTACCACTTATGGCATTTCGTTTTTCTGGATTACTGATATTTATTACTGCTATTCCTTCCTGCCAAAACTCCTTTGATATGAATATTTCTCCACTTCCATATTGTCCCATATAGGAAAGCATATCGTTCATATCTTCAGAAAGACATAGTAACTCCCTGGATGTATTTGAGGTCATTATTATTCATAAATCTTGAAAAGAAGTCATTTATAATTCTAAAAATTTGGTTTCTCAATGTTGAAATAATACCGGGTGTTTTTCAAAAGTTACTTACTTATTATTTTCAAATAAAAAAATGAGATTTGGTATGTTTGTATATAATATATACAATTCGTAAATAATTACTTTTTCCAAATATTCGTATTATCCACCTTCATTTCATGTGAAAGAATTGAGTTATGATTAGAAATACCATTTTGTTTATATTTTAACCAGCCAGGACAGGCCCGTTCCTGGGGTATCTGGCGCCTACTTGCAGCATTCTTTGGTGCGCCCCTTTTTTTTAAATCAATTATATATTTTAATCTTAATCTCAAAAATTTAAAGAATTCATATTCTGCGACAAACGAGCAATATGTAATTGGAAATGTAAAAAAACTATTCTAATTAAAGTATAAAAACATTTATTAAATAAAGAAAACAAACAAAACCACACAAATATACAATACACCATAAAAACAATAAACTAAAAATCAGAAATAATATACATGTACTGATTTCTTTCGAAAATCGACAACTATGAAACTGTGAACCCTTCCCGGACACAAATGGTACATTGTGAGACAGGAAATTGTAGAGAGAAACAAGCCCTATAACATAGGATAGAACATTTTAATGAACAGTGCTTTCCATAAAATCAATAAAATGAAAAATATACGAAATAATATACATGTATTGATTTATTTCGAAAATCGACAACTATGAAACTATGATCCGTCCCCGACACAAACGGTTCATTGCGAGACAGGAAATTGTAGAGCGAAACAAGCCCTATAACATAGGATAGAACATTTTAATGAACAGTGCTTTCCATAAAATCAATAAAATGAAAAATATACGAAATAATATACATGCACTGATTTCTGTCGAAAATCGACAACTATGAAACTATGATCTCTTCCCCGACACAAACGGTATATTGTGAGACAGGAAATTGTAGAGAGAAACAAGCCCCATAACATAGGATACAACATTTTAATGAACAGTGCTTTCCATAAAATCAATAAAATGAAAAATATACGAAATAATATACATGTACTGATTTCTTTCGAAAATCGAGAACTATGAAACTATGATCCCTTCCCCGACACAAACGGTATATTGTCAGACAGGAAATTGTAGAGCGAAAACAAGCCCTATAACATAGGATAAAACATTTCAATGAACAGTGCTTTCCAAAAAATCAATAAAACTAAAATATACGAAATAATATACATGCACTGATTTCTGTAAAATCGACAACTATGAAACTGTGATCCCTTCCCCGAAACAAACGGTATATTGTGAGACAGGAAATGTAGAGAGAAACAAGCCCTATAACATAGGATACAACATTTTAATGAACAGTGCTTTCCATAAAATGAATAAAGTGAAAAATAAATAGATGTAATCAATGTGTTGCCGGCAGATTGCCCTAGACTTGTTTATTCGGTGCGGCCAACGCAAAAAAGACGCTAAGCAAACTTTATCCTATATGATGTATGTTTAAGTATTTCTTTATTAACAAGAAAGCGTATCGGTTTTTTGCTACAAAGTACCTACTGATTGACACTTCGATTTTGCGCCCCGAAAATGTTGCGCCTACGTGCGTGGGCGCACTGCACGCTCGCCAGGAACGGCCCTGAGCCAGGAAAAGACACGAAAACCGTTATATGTTCAAATCTATGTTTCTAAGGCTCCTTTAATAAAAATTAGTGGTTTTAATAAAATAACACTCTAAATTGAAATTTAAAATACTAAAGTTTCATTCAGAACCTGGCAATTAGTGGAATAAATTGGTGGTTTCAATTAGCGTAGAAGTTTGTTCCTTTACTTTCAATGTAAGCATTCAGAACGTCAAAATTAGTGGTAATTACATTTTCAAGTAGTAAAAAAAGTTATCAAACTTTTAACTTTTCCACTAATTATACTTCAAAATTTGCGAGAAATGTTATTTTGGCCTTTGAGGATATTCCGTCAAGGAAACTTGTGGTTAGAAATCAAAAGTTGATTGTTTTATAAGCTAAATATTAGGCTTTCCCTATATATATAACTGACTAACGCAAGCTATTGCTAGGATTAATTTTAATTGTGTTTTTTAAATATTGTGAATGATCGTAAACTAAAAAGTATAAAGTGTAATTGAAACCACTAATCTATTCTACTAACTGCGAGGCTCCGAATGAAGCTTAATTTTTTTAATTAAAAATATCAAAAGTTGACATACAGTATGTCATTGAATACCTACACCAATCAATCCCAATTTATGCCATATTAGCTTTGTTCGGGTTCTTGTTATTGCCGATTCTGAATCGTCCTAGAACTCTGCAGCGCATGCGCAAATGAAATAATGTCTTCATATTTCCTTCTGCGCATACGCATCACAGTTCTACGACGGTTCAGAATCGGTAATATGAGAAACCCGAAGTAAGCTATTACTAACATAGCAAATCTCGTTTTTTATCCGAAAAAAAATAAAATGTAGAGATGTAAGCCACTATTGAAAAACACCCAGTATCTTTTAAAAAAAAGTATCTGAATTGACTGTTATACACTAGACAACTTATATTTTCAAAACTAGTAGCGGTATAAACGGGTATAAATAACAAAGGATTATAATAAAGTATTGAAACAGATTAGTATCCAAATCTAAACAGTAGATTAATTATAACTTTCTAATTTTTGTGCCCTTATTCCATTTACCTCTGTATATCCTTTGTTTCCGTAAACACTTTTTTTGAGTACTATCCCAAATAAAAGACCATTATGTACTGCCGGTACTCAATTACAAAATAACCTTGAGATGAAACAACGGGTATTCCGTATTTATCGATGGTTTATTACAGAAACTCAATATTTTTATTAAAAAATCTATTATGAATATTTTCCGTTACTTACTTAATCAACTGTGGCACAGATTGTTTTCTTTTTTATTCACTTATAAATTAAACCGCTAATATAACACAACATTTATAAAATTTAACCAACATTTTCTGACATGATTGTTTAAATAATTATTCGGTGATCTTTAACCCCGATAATATGAATATTGATATTGACAAATAATGACTGAAACAAAATATTATTTAAATTGTTCTGATTCTTTGTTAATCTTTTTAATTAAGTTGTCAATTATCTTTTATATAATTATACTACACGATCGAAAAAAAACGGCGGTGAAGACGGCTGGGGAATGACAATCGATGAATTTTGCCGAGGTCAAGGCCTAGACGTCATTTACTTGGCTTGTACTTTTCTTTATATATTTCTTTATATTTTTATATTTTTTTCGAACATGCGGTATACTGTTAAATTAGTAAGATTTACATTTTATATTTCGCTCAACTGAACTTCCATTTACAGCAAATCCCATGTAAATTTTAAAAATGATAATAAAAATGGTCACTTGGTATTTCTGAACTTGGTATTGAACCGCATGCTACAATTTCAAATAAATCATATGCAAAAATGTCAAAAATTGACATATGATATGTCATTCTATTCAGAGTGTAATTTTCTATCGAATAATGTAAAAATATACCGGGGGTGTCATTTAAAAATCAAAAGTTGTAGTCATTTCCGGTGAAACAGGAAGTGACGAAAAACAATTGAATACGTCAATCAATCCTAACAGCGCTTTCAGATGGAGCGGAGCGTCCGCGACGGACCGCAGGGGGTATAAGTACATGAGGCAATGCAATGTGGTGTACAACCTAGGGGCATTGTCGGGCAGTGCGGGGCAATGTCAGGCATTGCGGGGCATTGGGCATTGTCGGGTATTGCGAGGCATTGTGGGGCATTGCGGGGGCATTATGAGGAACTGTTGGGAAATACAAGGTATTGTGAGACATTGTTGGGCAATATGAGGCATTGAAAGGGCAATGTGGTGCAATATTTAAGCTAAATATATTGCGTGCGCATCCTCCCGCCATCACTTTGATTACATCACAAACACTCAAATAAAAGAGCTCTAAGTCGGTTAAATTAGGGAAAAGTTGCCTACTGTGAACGCACTACAGGATTAATGTTTACACTTTAACGTAATTTTTTGGCCTCGAAAAAGGCAACTTCTATCTAATTTAACCGATTCATTTCAGAGACTGCAATATTTTATTTATTAAAAAAATACTTAAATGTATATCCGAGAAAATGTAAAAAATATAAAAAAATATCTTATGTATTTTAGGTATAAAGCAAGTTTGTGCAAGTTTTTGCCAGGTCTTTAGTTTAAGAAAGGTTTAACTTTGTTTTAGTTTTAAAAAACTTTACTTTGTGTTAGTTTAATGAAATATAACTTTAGTTTTAAGCTATTTTGATCCAAGAAAATGATCAATATATTTTATTTTATGGAGTAAATTAGGCCACAAATTAGGAGTTTTGTTTATCAAAATTATTAAAAAATGTCTTGTGTTGTATTGTATTAGTTTAAGAAAAGTTTAACTTTGTTTTAGTTTTAAAAAACTTTACTTTGTGTTTAAAATATTATGTTCTTTTAGTTTTAAGCTATTTTGATCCAAGAAAATGTTTAATTTATTTTAGTTTATAGAATAAATTAGGCCAGAAATTAGTTTTATTTGTAAGAAATAATAAAAAAATCTTTTGTTTTTTAAGTTTTTGCCAGATTTTTGTTTTTAAGTTTTTGCCAGATTTTGTTTTAGTTTTAAAAAACTTTACTTTGTGTTAGTTTAATGGAAATTTTAAAAACATATAACATATAAGTATTAAAGTGTTTGTTTCTTTTTATTATTTATCTACTTAGGTAGGTATATCTGAAGTTATTATGTCTATACTCTAGTACGTATTACGTAACGGTGATGTCTCAATTATTGTGATACAGCCTAAGCTAATTATTATTCTTCTGGGAATAACTTGTTATCATAATGTATACCTACCTAAAAATATAAACTGTTCGTCTGTTATTAGTCCTAAGTTGTTTTTGCGAAAGGGAATTTATTTCTGTTATGTGTAGTTTTTTAATAAAAAATATAAATATTATGGTTTTTGTGCCTTTAGGTAATTTATTATGAAAATAAAATACATAAGAACTATCTAGGGGCTATATAAAAAAGTGTTTACCCTTTTTAGTATTATTCGTCTCTTTTCAACATATGCAATGAAAAGAGGTAGTTATATATTGCATTAAGGGGCATTGCCAGGCAATGTTGGGCAATACGAGACATTATTGGGCAATACGGGGCATTGTTGAGAAATAGGGGGCATTGTCGGGCATGATTGAGTAGGAAAGGGGCATTGCGGGGCAATATGCGAGTAATCGAGCATTCATTGCCTTTTGGTGTACAGAAATTCGTTATGTACTTACCCCCTGGTCCCTCGTGTTTTTTCAAGATAGCCGTCGGACAAACTCTGTCTAACGGAGCACACGCGACCATGTGAAATTGTTCATATAAACCCATGGTGCTTGCTCGAAGGCGCGGACGGTCCGCTCCATCTGAAAGCGCTGTAATTTATGTTATCTACCAAATCTGGTTATTTTTCCATACCAAATCTGGTTATTTTATCTGAAAAAATAAAAAAGTTATAGGGGTGAGCCACTTTTGAGACGCACCCGTTGTGTTTATTTTTAAAGAGGCTGGTCATTTTATTGTATTTCTCGACTTTTTATTTGTATTTGGTTAGGTTATAACTTATCGAAAAAGTGAAAATTGAGTCCCATAGAGTTTTTCACTTAGAATTCAGTGGCGTAACTAGATTTTCAGACGCGCGTTTTGCTAACTGTGTTAGCAAAATGCGCGTTCAGTGCAAAAGTAAAGTATTTTGGTGTATTGTGGTGAATTAGTGTTATATTTTGCTGTTGTAACACCAAGGTTTCAAACCTTCCCTCAATTGTAAGCTGTCATTCTTTAAATATGTCCCAAAGTTATACTTTTTTTTAAATGAATATGCTTGCACATATGTTTTTATTTTATTGCAAAAAAAAAAAATTTCTAAAAATATAAAAGATAAACTCTACTGAACTCAGTTTTTACCTTTTCGATAAGTTATAAGACATCCGAGATACAAAGAGGGTCGAAAAATGCAAAATTTTCAAATTCCCTCTATTTGAAAAAAATAAGAAGGCTATAAAATCTGTGCGTAGCAAATTCAGTTTCATAAAGAAGTTGCAGTGTGATGTGAAAACCGCATCTTTATCTGTACTCATAAACAAGTAACCCTGTAAAACACACACTTTTGAAAATGGGACACTCTCTACAGAATTTTCATAAAAATAATACAAAATAATAGCAACAGATCTAGGCTTGATGAAATTTATTAATTTATAACATAATATTTGTCATAAAACTCTTACTCTATTACGTATCTAGCAAAAATACGTGGAATGATGAATAGCCTGACCTTGAAAAATAATCAGGGAAGTTTTTGCAAGAACTATTTTGATTGAAAATCTAGCGAAAAGTTTGCAAAACATGGATATACAACTAATTTTTACTTATATAACGTCAATATCAAAGTCACGATACTTTTTTTTTTTTTTTTTTTTTTTTTTTTTTTTTTTTTTTTTTTTTTTTTTTTTTTTTTTTTTTTTTTTTTTTTTTTTTTTTTTTTTTTTTTTTTTTTTTTTTTTTTTTTTTTTTTTTTTTTTTTTTTTTTTTTTTTTTTTTTTTTTTTTTTTTTTTTTTTTTTTTTTTTTTTTTTTTTTTTTTTTTTTTTTTTTTTTTTTTTTTTTTTTTTTTTTTTTTTTTTTTTTTTTTTTTTTTTTTTTTTTTTTTTTTTTTTTTTTTTTTTTTTTTTTTTTTTTTTTTTTTTTTTTTTTTTTTTTTTTTTTTTTTTTTTTTTTTTTTTTTTTTTTTTTTTTTTTTTTTTTTTTTTTTTTTTTTTTTTTTTTTTTTTTTTTTTTTTTTTTTTTTTTTTTTTTTTTTTTTTTTTTTTTTTTTTTTTTTTTTTTTTTTTTTTTTTTTTTTTTTTTTTTTTTTTTTTTTTTTTTTTTTTTTTTTTTTTTTTTTTTTTTTTTTTTTTTTTTTTTTTTTTTTTTTTTTTTTTTTTTTTTTTTTTTTTTTTTTTTTTTTTTTTTTTTTTTTTTTTTTTTTTTTTTTTTTTTTTTTTTTTTTTTTTTTTTTTTTTTTTTTTTTTTTTTTTTTTTTTTTTTTTTTTTTTTTTTTTTTTTTTTTTTTTTTTTTTTTTTTTTTTTTTTTTTTTTTTTTTTTTTTTTTTTTTTTTTTTTTTTTTTTTTTTTTTTTTTTTTTTTTTTTTTTTTTTTTTTTTTTTTTTTTTTTTTTTTTTTTTTTTTTTTTTTTTTTTTTTTTTTTTTTTTTTTTTTTTTTTTTTTTTTTTTTTTTTTTTTTTTTTTTTTTTTTTTTTTTTTTTTTTTTTTTTTTTTTTTTTTTTTTTTTTTTTTTTTTTTTTTTTTTTTTTTTTTTTTTTTTTTTTTTTTTTTTTTTTTTTTTTTTTTTTTTTTTTTTTTTTTTTTTTTATGTATGCCGATGTGTGATTATTATTTTCTGCTTTTCCTTGTTATTCTGCGTGCTCAAAGGACCATAACGAGACTATGGTATTTAAACATTTTGAGGTAGATCCAT